GGAAGGGAACGCTCAACGAGAGAGAAGAGATTATGATTTCATAACATTCGAAACGAGGATAGAACGGAATTAATATCTCGATGATCGGCTATTGGGTATCAGCAGCCCGTTGGGGATGGTGCAGACTCGAGAGGAGAACCCAACGACCGTGAGCCCGGAGATCAGGCCGAGTCAATCAAGACCCACATCCTCCGGGGCTGCTCGTCTCCGGGCCGGGGGCCGGGCTTGGGCTGACAGCGGGACTTATGTACGCCCGAACACGTGGCTCTGAGACAGAGGTCAAGAAACCAGATGAAGATATCGGGACAGGGCTGAGAGAACCCCTGGAGAGGAAACTTCTGCAAAGGTGAGGAGGCAAGGGAAGGACGAGAGGGGAAGCGGACGCTTGTGGGACACTGCACGTGTCGGTTTGAGGTACAGCGGGGACCGATTTCCGGCCGGCCTCCGGAGCGACCGAGAGGAAGACCTCGCTTAAAAAGGGCATGACCTAGTGTTGTCTCAGCGAGATCGGTCACCAAGGCCGAAGATGTGGCTGGTGTATTCGTTCGAGCTGCTTTTTGGGTTCTGCAGGTGTCGAGGCAAGGAGGCAACTGAGATCCGTCCTTCCCGTCAGTTGATTCGGTGGCAGCCCGCAGCAAGCCCTCGAGCCAAGGGGCCATAATCTCGACCGATGCTTGTCTTTGCGCCCCCAGGCCTTGTCCGTATCGCAGTTCTGCACTCGCAGTCGGCGCCGACAGCTGGCTGTTGTGCACGGTCAAGATGCACCACGAGTGGACAGCGAAGGGCGCCGAGCCCGAGTGTCGCATGAAGACACGGTAAAGTAATTGATTACAACAATGAGTCAAGGATGAATAAAAACCGGTATCCTGGCAAGTCCGGGCTCATTCTGGAAGGCTGGCAAGATTTTGCAACACCAACCTCCTGGCCTTGATGAAAATTCTGAGAGGGACGATGCGATGGGCCTAAAAGGAACAGAAACGGCCAACGATGGGAGGTAATTCCAAGGTGGGCGACCGGAAGCTCCTTCCCAGCCTGCCTATTTTACAGCGCGTCAGGGCCTAGCCAATTGCGACTGTGGGATCTCGCGGTGCGTCAATCTGGCAGCTCTGGCCAAAAAAGGTCAAACTCAAAACGGGGACAAGAAATCAAGAAAAGAGAAAGAAGTCAAGGAAACGAAGAAAGAAAAAGGAGACAAAAGAGAACAAAGCACCAGGAATTAAATAAAAGAACCCGAGTCAAATAGAAGTAGACTTTGGGCTTATGAATGGCTTTCTTTTCGTCGGCATCTACGAAGTAACTGCACTTGGAGCTCGGCTTTTTTTTGCCCATGGGATGGGATGGATGTCTGGGCACTCACAACGTTCCATTGGTTGCGTGCAGGTGCTGCGCCAAGTGGGCTGCGTCCTTCCTTTGCGCCCTCGACTTTCTCTGATCGAGAACATTGCATTGTTCCAGGCGTGCGCCATCGCTGCAGCACAGTTGCAACCCTTGACCTCGGGACCTCACATCTCTGATCAGATGCCCCGCGACTGCACCCAAGAGCCGCCCACCCCCATCGACCATGTTTCGGAATAACGGTATCTAGAGGGACAGCCAGGACAGCCACTCACTGTGCACCGTTTACCTTGTTCAACAAGTGATTTGGTTCCTGCCTGGCGAGGGCATGATTGATGATTAGCCGCAGCACCTGGTAGTTGGAGCCACTCGAGAGGCAAAGAGGGTTCGTCCCGCGCCAGATCGGACACGACACCCGAGGGGCCCTGCCACTCACCTGCTTGTGTCAGCTCTGTTCAGACGGCAGCACGACCTTGGCCTCTCGCCAACAAACCACTCAACGTTTACTTGCCACTTGTCGATGTCTCAGGTCTCCCGCGATTCTACTTCGAACGTGGTCCAGCGCCAACAAGTCCGTGTCCTTCGGCTGCCCCCCCTGCGCGCCCCCAACTCGGCGGGGTGTTTCCAACCATCGTACCTTGGCACAATCGACGAGCCTCTGCTTCTCGTCGCCGCACCGAGCGAGCCCCTTGCTGCTAACGACCAATCTATCGCTGCCAGCAATATGCGCGCAATCCTGCCGCTTCTTCGTTCCCCACTCTAGAAGAGCGCAAAAACAACGAGGACGATACCCCGGGCCCGCCCCCGTCGATCCGTCACCATGACCGTGGGCAGTGACTTCCGGGCTTCTCTCCCCAACATGGGCACATCCCATGCAGACTTTGCTCTCGGCTTGGACTCGGATCGCCTCGAGGGCCATCCGCGCATGTTCAAAAAACACAAGGTTCTACCGCATCCCCGGAAGGATGAATTGCAGCGCTCGGGTTCGTGGAGATACGGGCAGGGGAGCGAGGCGTCTCTGTCCCAAAACGGCGCGTCACCAACCCTGAGCCCCAGCCTCCGACTACGCGCGAGCCGGTCAGGAAGAGGTCCAGAGCCACCACCCACACCGCCTGCGCACTCCCGGACTTCCTCGGCCAGCCATCCTGCGGATCCCTCGACTCCCAAACTCGCTGGCGATTCTTTGAGCAGCGCTGATGATGCCGAGTCGCGTCCCCCAGCGACTCCCACTAACCAACAAACCCTGCCCACCCCAAATTTGACCCCCGATCGGACGCCTCCAGGCCCTGCCACGAGTCAAACTCAGCAGCGGCCCCCGATAACCGGGCGCAACTCGTCGAAAGTCACGACAGGTTCACGGGCCGAGTCGTTCACAACCGCGAGGGAGAACCCGTCCTCGTCCGATGATGACGATGGGAAGTCGACCATGCGCCCGGGATTAGCTTCGGCGAGGACCTCACAGAGCACCGTTCGGCAAGTTAGCAGGGAGACCAGGAGCGTCTCCCAGCCTGTCGGTTTGGGTTTAAGCCTCGACCCGGATTCCATAGCTGACTCGACACCGAGGATCATGCCTGAGTTTAACAAGTTTGATGGCGAGTGGGCAAGCGGGGAGAGAGGGCCCAACGAGGCCGTGAGGGAGTGGGACTCGGATCTTATGAGGAATGTAACCATCAGGAAACGGCGGCCGAGTCGCCCAAGGGAGACTCGAAAAACAGAAGTCGTTGACGATAGAGCAGTAACACCAACCAACGCCACCCGGGCGATTCGTTCTATGTCTCTAGAAGAAAGCCCGATCGTATACCCTTCGCGCAGGGTTGCTTCGGATCGATACCCGACTCGGGCTGCTCCTGTGGATTCCGAGTCTTCAGCTAGCATCGATATCAAGCGTTCCTCGATCCTATCAACGAAATCGAATGCATCGACTGTGGTGGAGGCTAGGCTCGTAGAAACGGCGCCTCAGCGACGGAAGACGTTGCGACACGTTAGGAAGCAGAGCGCCTTACGGGACTCGGGCTCCGAAGTATCCCCGGCCAGTTCTGCGCCGACATCCGTCTCTCCAGCCGCCGATGGCCGACGTCAACGTCAGGAATCGGCAGTCCCCAGGGCGGCCGAAGCCGTCCGCGAAAGCTATGCCTCGACGGCCACCAACAACTCCATTTCAAGCCGGAAAGCCCGTCGTTCGGTGTGGAATAACGGCGGTGTGCCAGTCGTTGTGATTCCTGAGCGCCGCTCCTCGGTCAAATCCAACAACAGCAAATCGCCCTCCCTGCGGTCAACGAGCAGCCGGAGATCTCGCAGCCTCAGCTCTGTTCCGACTTCGCAACCGTCCAAGAGCAGAGAAAATGTTCCTGTTTTTGAAAGGCCTTACCGTCGAAGCAGGGCGCTTTCTGAGTCGGATGGATCCAGAGCAGGGGATGAACGGACTATGGATTTCCCCCCGGTCATCCCTACTCGGTCCTCTTCGCTTTCGGCGCCCACGAGTCGAAATGTGTCAAGGACGGGCTCGCTAACAGCAGAGAGCTTGAAGACTCATAACGTCTTCCAGGCGCAGCAAGCGCACCACGCTCTGCAGAACGCGAGTCGGGAACTTGACAAATTGCAGAATCAGCCTCCGCCGACAAGCAGCGATACGCTACGGAACGGGAGAGGGACGGATTTACCGTCTGCGACCGGTAAAAGTGAGAGCAGGGAACCTACCGTGCCGGTTGGGCGGACTCCGCGGGAGAAGCAGAGCAGGTCGGGCGGGAGCTCTGTTCAGACGCTCCGGGACTCGCACGGCACCCAGCGAGAGAGCGGCGCCGACCGGGATGAAGACCCCTTCTATGGGACGAGGCTGTCCGTGCAAAACACGCCGCTTTCCGTCGCTTCGGCCGACACAGCCCCAACCTCTCAAGCCGAGGTTTCCGAGGCCATGGCCGTCAATATCTACCCGCACCAGAGTAAATCTGTCGTGCTCGTTGACCATTCCGCCAAACCATCGGAGAGCTCCTCTCTGGAACAGTACAAGGGCCCTGGCCTCGATATTCCGGTCGTTAAGATGACCGATGTGAACGGTGGTGTTCCCGTCACGCCGCCGCAGCAGTTCTCCGTGGACGATGTCGACTCGCCACTAAGGAACCCACGAGCGCCGCCTCAACCTCCAGCCATCAATTTCATCCCGGCCACGCCATCGGGTCTAACACCGACAACTGAGAAGCAGACACAACTTGGCAACTACTACGAAATGACGGCGGAGAAGCCGAAGCGCAGCCTATCCCTACTCAAACGAGCCCTAACCCGCCGAACAACGAGCGACTACGGCCCTTCCCCGGCTCGCCCCGTTGGCCTCCTTACCCGGACATTTTCCCTCTCTCGAAACATCAGACGTCGGGACGAACGACCCCGCCTCAAACGCCGCTCGACGGGTGACTCTGGCCCCCAAGACGAGACCAGACTCCACCCGCACTGGCGGCCCGCCTACGCCGAAGACGAGCGCTGCGACTGCGGCTGCTGTTCCTCCTCGGACGAAGACGATTACGACGATGACCATGACGACGACCACGACGACGAAGACGACCGAACCTACCGCTACCCGCCCATCGACAACCGGCCCGCCCCCTTCTCCCCCTCCTTCCCCGCCCCCCGCCGCAGGCTGAGCGAGCGCCTCAAGCGCACCTTCGCCATCCTTCCCCGACGCGACGACCGCGACAACTGGGACAACGGCTACGGCAACCGAGGCGGCGACGGCGGCTATTATGACACGGCCTACCCCGCTACGGCGGACGACGCGCCCGACCGCAGAACCATCCGCCGCACGCCGAGCGGCAACCTGCGCGTGATGAAGTTCCGTCGCAGCATGGAATCCCTGACGCGGGGCACTCCACCACTAGTAGCCACTGCTACTACCGCGAACGGCCGGCCGTACTACCCCCCCGCCAGCCAGCGGCGGTACACGCGCCTGTGGCGGTCCCTCAGCCTGAAAGCGAGAACCTCCCTCCGCCGCGGCTCTTCCCAGAGAAGAGATGCCGAGAACAGCGGGGACGATGGTACCGGAGGCACGACCGGGTTCCTGCCTACCCTGGGCGACCGCATCAACTTCCCGCGGCGGCTGAGCGAGCGGCGGCGGGAGAAGCGCACGCAGGAACTGCGTGGCAAGATCTCGGGGCCGAGGGAGGTGCGCGATGGGGTCGGGGAGGTGATTAGGAGGAATTCGTGGCGGGATCGCGACGCGTTGTATGTGGAGGCGCAGCAGAGGGAGAGGAGGTTGTTGAGGGAAAGGGGGGGTTGAGGAGGGGGGAGGGGGAGGGAGAGGTGATGTGAGGTGAGGTGAGGTGAGGGTGGCGATTTCTCTGGGTGGTTCCGAGTGAGGAGAGAGAGAGATGCCTGACCATACCGCTTCTTGAGAAGAGCGGTTGAGTGGTTGGTTTTTTCTTCTTCCGCCTCTGGGACGAAGGTCGGTTTATGATGTGATGAGTTTTTTTTTGTTTGTTTTCTCTTTTCTTTGTCGTCTTTTATATCCCTTTCATCTGTCTATAAAGATCATGCAGGGACATGTGAGGTTTTCTGTCAGCGGGCTCAGGAGCCTGTTGAGATGATGATTTGGGCGGGGGCGTTTCTTGGGACATGACGGCCTTCAAGAGCGGGCGGGATATGAGACGGGCATGACTTATGACGTGTGGTTTCATGTTTCGAAGGAGGCATTGCTCCGTCTGTTTTTTGCTTTTCGTCTGTCAGATGGTATGAGAGATGATTGGGAATGGAAGGGTGGGATGATTATGATGAGGGTCCATGGTCTATGGCCTCTGATGACGGGGGAGTGTACTGAGTAGAACGGGTCTTGTATTTCTCGCTGATGATGATACCATGCAATCGAGAGGGATGCTTCCCATCCAAACATTTGATATCTGCTGTATTGAAGTGCCATTTGCCCCGGGCCACCCTGCTGTAATGTGCTACACGGCATGTATGTGGGTGGGAGTGTGTATGTGGTGTTTTGTTCGTTGGCTTATACGGGCAGTAGTTCTAGTCCGCGCACGGGAGCACAAACGTACCTCAAAGCCAGCAGTGGACAGAACATTACATTTTGTTCTATAGTAGTTTAAACAATTTCCTACCTTTTCTGCCCCTCCTGCCGCGAAAAACGCCTATACGCCGTCGCAGTGTCCCGTCCCATCGAATGTCAGAACAGCAAAAGTTACAGTACCAATGATGACAACAACCCAGGCACACTCCGCTCATTATCTCGCCACCCCTCTATCACCTGCTTGCCTGGACCTCTCTCCCCGTGGACAACAACACCGCCAAAGCTCTCCTCCTCACCCCAAAAGAAATCACCGCTTCTCCCCCGGAAACCCCCCCGGCGGCGGCGGAAACGCAGGGAACCCCCCACCGGCACCAGGAGGCGGCGGAAACGGCAGACCACCCGCACCCGGCGGCGGGAACCCCACAGGCGGAAACGGCGGCGGCGCACCACCGGCCCCAGGCATTGGAAACGGCGGTGGCGCCCCCGACCCGGCCGGCGCACCGGGACCACCAGGCGGCGGCGGGAAAGGCGGCGGGAACGGAAATGCCGGCGCTCCACCAGAACCACCACCAGCACCCGCGCCACCACCTGGAGCTCCACCCGCCCCAAACGGCGGCGGCGGCATCCCCGGCGGCAGGCCAGGCATGCCCGGGATGGGAAAGGGCGGCGGCGGCATCCCGGCCGGGAAGGGTGGCATCATGCCCGGGATGGGCGGCATCCCCGGCAGCGGCGGCGGCATGCCCATGCCTCCTGGTCCGCCTCCTGGTCCTCCCGGTCCGCCTCCCGGTCCGCCTCCTCCCATACCCATGGGCCCTGCGCCGGGCCCGAGCCCGAAGCCTCCACCGCCGGGCTGGTTATGCGGCAGCATGGGGTTGGCGTGGGCTTGGCCTTCGGCGGCGTAGGAGGACGTGATGGAGTCGATGACGGATTGGGCTTTTTCGTGGCCGATTTCTGAGAAGGGGGGAAGGAGGAAAGAGTGGGTTAGCAGGGGTTGCTGGGGAGTGCGCCGCGTGCGTCTGGTGGTGGAGGACGTACGTTGGTAGTAGTCGACGACGTTGCGCAGGTGGTTGCGGCCGCTGTTGTGCGCCTTGCGCACGCTCATCGAGTCGTGCGTGAGGTAGACGTCGCAGTAGTCGCAGAAGACTGGGGATTGGGGAGGTTTGGGGTTAGCGAGGTGTGCTTTTTGGGGGAAAGAATTGCGTGGGAGAGGATGGCTTACATTTAGGCATCTTGGCGGTGGGATGTCGCGAGAATTCGCGGCGCGCCGAGATGTGGTGGTTGTGTTGGAAATGTGTGGAACTGGAACTTGAGCGGCCGATGCAGGTTGAAGCTTGCTTGGATTGCGATGGTGGCTAGAAACAAAAGACGGCCAAGCCAAGTTCGCGAGGCTGAGAAAGTTTGGCGACGCGATCAGTGGGGCCGCAAGGCTTCGAAGCTTTGACTTTCCAATCGCTGGCAAGAAGTAGAGTTCATTCATTGGCAGACTCAAAAAACGCGCCCCACAGGCTCCAGGGGCAAGCGACAGCTGGCCCTTTTACCGAAACTTGGGTGTAAGCTTGCATTTCAGCGTCTCCTGTGTGTATTCTGCCATCACACAACCGCCTTCACACGCGACACAGCGACCATGGCCCGTTTACGATCGGTACTGCAGCAAGTCTGCAGCGTACTGCTGCTACTGGCCGTTGGCTCGAATGCTCTCAAATTGGATATTCAGGCGGGCAGCGGCCACGACAAGACTTCGCGGCGATGCATCCGCAACTTTGTGGCCAAGGACATGCTCGTCGTCGTGACGGCCATTGTCGATGGGTGGAGGGGCGACGGCATGCAGCTCAACATGCATGTGAGTATTTGAGAAGATGGGATCCGGGGTTTTCAAGAGATACGGGATGGATGGGCACTGACAGACCCGGCTTCCAGATCTCGGACTCGACAGGCAACGAGTACGGCAAGCCCAAGGACATTGCTGGCGAGCAGCGCACCGTCTTCACCTCGCACGCCGACGCCCCGTTCGACGTGTGCTTTGAGAACATCTTGACTGGCTGTGGGTGACCCCGAGCTGCCCCTGAGAGACAAGCTAGTGCTAACACAGGCGGACAGCCCGCTACGTCGAACACCCGTACCGCCATATCGAGTTGGATATCGACATCGGTGCCGACGCCAAGGACTGGTCAGCCATCCAGGCGACGGAGAAGCTGAAGCCGGTCGAGACGGAGCTGAGGCGCATTGAGGAGATGGTGGCCGAGGTGGTCAACGAGATGGAGTACCTGCGGTCGCGCGAGCAGACGCTGCGCGACACCAACGAGAGCACCAACACGCGCGTCAAGTGGTTCGGCTTCGGCACCACCTTCCTCCTGATCGGACTCTGGGCGTGGCAGATCATGTATCTGCGGGCGTATTTCAGGTCGAAGCATCTGATTTGATGAGTGGCTGGTCTGGGAGGGCTGGGATGGCTGGTTCTAGACTGTGGCTTTACGGGACAGGAGTTTTACATGAACTGTTACGCAGGCGAGCATGGGATATGATGTACTGTATATGTTGTCTTGGTGGGTGGAAAACGGGCTGTATTTGGGCGTCTACAGGAATGCTCCAAGGACGTGATCGGGTAGCCGATATCTGGTTTTGGTAATGCAAACGGGCCTCGTTGATATGCCGCCAGCGGAGAATATATCCGCCATCACGCGTGGTGAAATGGACCGATGGACCGGCACGGCAAGACCCGGGGACTCGGTCTCCACAAGTTTCGGCCTCGGCTCAGCCAAGCTTTAACCAAGCATTCGACCGGCGCCGTTGACAAATCCATGTTCGATTCTGCATCCGCAACTCAACCTCGACCGTCCGCCCAAGTCCGTGAATCTTACCAGACGAGCAAAAAAGGTAAAACGAAGAACAAACGACGTACAGCACAGCACACAATGGCCACCCTCCGCCCCGTAACCCGCGCCATCAGCCGCGCGCGGCCCTCTCTCACAGCACCATCCATGCGCCTGTTACGTTTCAACTCCTCGCAACAACCCTCCGCCCGCGACCTCGAGGTCGGCGAGCTCCAAGGCGCCACCTTCCGAGTCGAGCCGCTGCGCCGCGTAGGCGAAGACCCCGAGACCATGCGCGCCCGTCTCGTCTGTACGTATCCCACCTATCTATAGCCCGCGTGCGGCACGCCAAATAATTCATCCCCCTTCCCTCCCTCCCTCGCAACAAGCCACCCCACCCCATCACCCCAACCAACCAACCAACTAACCCCCCCGCCCCGTCTAGACCAATCCCGCAAACGCGGCACGCTCGAATCCGACCTCCTCCTCTCGACCTTCGCCTCGGCCCGCCTCGCGCGCATGACCCCCGCCCAGCTGGCCGAGTACGACCGCTTCCTGGACGAGAACGACTGGGACATCTACTACTGGGCGACACAGCAGGAGCAGAAGCCTGAGGGGGAGGGATCTCAAATTGGGGGGGCCGCGGGGGCGGGGCCGGGGCCGGGGCAGGTTGATGCGCAAGCTGGTGCGCAAGCTGGGGGGAGTGCAGGTGCGAGTGCGAGTGCGAGCGAGGCGGTGCAGCAGTCGCCCCGGCCGGGGGAGTGGGCGCAGACGGTGGGGACGTTCAAGCCGGCGTATCGGCCCGTGCCGGCGCGGTGGCGGGATAGTGAGGTGCTGCGGCTGCTGCGGGAGCATGTTGAGAGCCGGCGGGGGGCGGGGAAGGGGGGTATGGGGTTTATGCCGGCGTTAGAGGAGTATAAGAAATAGATGTGAGGGAAGTATGGGATGTGGGGAGGGCTGGGATGTCATTTGAGCATTTGAGGAGAGGGCATGGCCTGTTGGCTAATGTGGTGGGATGACTTAGGGGGGGGTATGACATGACATGACGTGGTTTGTATGTATGTACGAGTAGGTCGGTGTACAGTATTGTTGTCTACAGTAACCAGATGGATGTATGGGCAGGGACGGACGGAAAAACGGACAGACAGACATCAACGAAGAACGACACACGCACACACGCACACACACACACACACACACACGATTCCTGTTCATTCTCGGTTCCTTACTCGGGGTATACCAGGTTCAAGCCGACGCCGACAGCCGACGGCCCTACCATCACATCTCCCTCTTGCTCTCACCCTTCTTCCCTTTGCCCTTCCCTCCCTGTTGACCGTCCAGGAACACGATGCTCGGTCCCATGACACTCCCTTCCCCGCCGTTCAAAACGCCGTAGCAAACACCGCTATGCCACCCCACCGCCATGGAAAGCGAAGAAAGAAAGAAAAGCGAGCCACAGCAACAAAAAAGAGCAGCCAGAACACCCCAAAAATATCATTGACTCATCATCACCCGAACCAGGCCCTCCCATTCCCATACCGCGCGAAACAGAGACAAGTAAGTCTACCCGCCCTCGGGCAAAATCCGCCCCAAACTCCTCAGCACCTCCATCACACTCACCCCACTTGTCCCCACCGCCCTCCTCTCCCTCTCCTCCCGCTCCCTCAACCGCGCCGCGCTCAGCGCCAGCACGACATCGGCCTCGCGGCCCGCCGTCGCGACGCGCATGTCGAGCTTGTGGACGCCGTCGGCGAGGCGGTCGACGCGGAACTCGAGCGCCGTCTGCGCGTTCTGCAGCCGCGACCGCGCCTGCCGCTTGAAGGCCCCGAAGGACGTCTCCGGGCTGGTGAGCGAGGCTAGGATGGCTGCTTCGGAGGGGTCGAGGAGGGTGGCGTCGGGGAGGGGCGCCTTGCGCGGGTCGGGGTCCGGGTAGAGAGGTCCGACGGTGGGGAGGGGGGTTGCGATGGCTTGCCAGGCGGATTTTTGGGCTTTAAGTCTGGGGGTGGTGAGGTTAGTTAGTGCGTGCGTGGGGTTGTGATGTGTGGGGGAATAAGGGGGTAGGTACCGTTCGATTTTGGCCTCGAGGTCGGCGATTTTGGCGTCGTAGTCGACATTTCGCGGGTTGGGCTGCAGGACGACGGGGATGGGTGGTTTGGGGGCGTCTTCCCGCGCAAACCAGTCGGAGAACTCGGACCGCGCGCCAAAATCTTTGAGGAGCTGGTCTTGTATCGCACGTGCTAGGCCAGGCTGTCAGCATCGATCCCCAGACTCCAAAGGCATACCCGGTTTACTTACCTCCTAGAATAGCACTCGACCCTGGCCGCCCATGTGGCGGTTTCTCACTTAGCGCCCTCTCTCCACACCACACCAGCAACTGCTTCATCCGCCGCGGCTCGCTCAGCCCTTCGGCTGAGATGTACTTGTAAAACTCGGCCGGGTCAACCTGGCGGTGCGGCAGCGCACTGTGCCCGTTCTCGATCAGCGAGCTGGCCCGCCGCCCGCGCATCCCCAGACTGCTACGCCGACCACCACTCGCGCCGCCCTTCTTACGGAACTCCTTGTTGCGGTTGATGATGGGTGTGTCGCTGAAGGGGAGTGCGATCATCTGGGATTGTGGTTGTGGGCCGGCCGAGCTGGGGGTCTCGTCCTTCCGTCCGGAGGGGCGTGGCCGCTCGTCTTCGTATTCTTCAGTTTCTTCAGGTTCTATCATCTGCGAGATTCCGTTCATTTTTGAAGCTCTGGCCCCTTTTGGCGGCGGTTTCCTCCCAGCCGTCGCCTCGCGCGATTTCCGCCGGGTTTTGGACTTGGGTATCACCAAATCATCTTCTGGCGGTGGCGCAGGATCCGGGCTCGATTTCCGCTTTGACGCCCTCCTTGTCGTTGGGGCTGGTGCTGCAGCCCTCGACCTCGTTGGCGCAGGTTGTGGTGTTGGGACCGGGGCCGGTGATGAAGCTTTTCGTCTTACACCCCCTTTCGGTGGCCTCCCCACGCTCTTTTTGGCCAGTACTGGCGCCGGCGCAGGCTCTTCCCCTAGTTCGTCCTCCTCAGGCACGGGCGCTGTTTTGGCCCGCTTTGACCCGCGCGTGAATAGAAAATCCCCGTCCTGTTCGTCGTAAACCCCTGCGGCGGCGGAGGAAAAGGAGGGCAAGTCGGCAGCATCCTTCCGCTTCCTCCCTCTGGTCCTTGCTGTCGTCGTCGTCGTCGTTGTCGTCTCCGTTTCTTGGCTACTCGGTAGCGGGCGTGATGGCAAGAGGGGCAGCGACGTACTGGCGAGGCGTTTGCTTTGCCGTCGCTCCGGCTGGTTGCTCATGCTCAAGACTTGTAGCGGATGGCGAGTCCGTACGAGAGTAGTCATGGATGACGGCGGGGCGGTCGGCACATGAATGCGGTCGTCGGGCTCGGGGCGGCAAGTTTCGTATCGCGTGGGTGGGTTTCAATCGTACGGAGCTCGGGTTTTGCGACGGGTGGCGGAAAGGCGAGACGGGATGACGGCTACGGCGCGTCGCGGCAATTTTCAATGTGTTTTCGGGTGACCAAGAACTCCTCCTTTGCAGCGAGCAGGGGGGGAGAGATGCTCGACGCGTCAATCTGAGCTCGGGAACCGAGTTGTTTCGCGTTATTTCACCACTTGAAGCCCCCGTACCAAAATGGGGTGATTTAATGTGTGCCTAATAGATGTTGTTGTTTTTTTTTCTTCTTCTTTTCTTTCGCTGGCGGCGAGAATGATGCAGGCCTTCGAAACTCTGTAAAGTGGGCTGGCGGGATCGCGAACGGCGGGAAGTTGCGCTCCGGTTTGTTTATTCGCGGTTGCAGAATGTGGCTGCTGGGGCGCTCGGACCATCTCCCAAATCTCATCCCACCACCCTACCACCTTGAAGCGGCTCCAATCTCCAATTTACAGCAGTGCCATGACGCAACTGCTCTCTCTCCACTCCAATTATTCTCCGTGATTACTTTGTACTTCACATGCCTACTCAATCGTTTTCAAGGAGAGGGATAAAAGCAGAAGAGGGTCAATATTAACTAACATCAATCAGTTATTGAGACATTATCCATTATCCTTTCGGTATTCTGCAACGGTCAGGCACCCCTCAGCATATGTATCCCTGCAATGACCTCAGCCCAGATATTGTTGACTCGAGCTTATCTTGCCCTGGCCTGTGTTGCCGTGGATGGCGATCCATTACATATGGACCTATCAAGGTAGTTGTCCAACCTCGAGAGGTGTCCTTGTCCACCGCATCACAACGCCATCAGATCACAACACCAATAAATCATGTATAGCACCGTTGTACTTTAGCTATCGTAGCCCATTAACTAATCGCTACCTCGTACGGATATGCGAAGATGAGAGGAGCCAGCAACGGCAGAAAGACACGGGGGTTGGCGACCCATACAATCAACCCGTCGCTAGCAACAGCGGAAAGACACGGAGCTTTGGCGGCCCCCATATATCAATCAACCCGTCACCAGCAACAACAGAAAGACATGGATGTTCGTCGACCACCCATCAGCCCGCCGCCATAGTATTCCCCCTCGTTCGGGCCAACCAAGCAAAGCAACCAAAACCCAAAAAAAAATAGAAGAGATAAGACAAAGGAAAAAGGGAAAAAGGAAAAAAAAAAAAAAAAAAAAAGCCAATAACGCCAGAAAGAGATGGGGGTCTGGCGACCCCATCCTCAGTAAAAGACGGGATCGCTCAAGCCTTTTTTCCCCCCCACCGACAACCCATTCACTAAAACCCTTCCAACGCCTTTCCTCCCATTCCCCCCCCTCCCCAAAAAATCATTCCTCCTCCCAAGGTCTGAACCCCACCAAACGCCGCTTTTAATGCATGTCCTCTTGTTGTCGTACTACACGGCTGGCGAGGAAGGGTACTGTTGTCCCTGTCGACAGCACCGCCTCACCAACCCCCAACGCGCCTGAGAAGCCAAAGACAAGGGATCTGCCGGTCCTGTTACTTGTACATCCCAGCCCCCGTCCCGTGTATATAGAGATGATAAATGTAAAAAGAAAGTAGAGTCGAGGATTTCGCCGAGACATCAAAACATGGCATGTTGGGCATTCCTTGGATGTGTGGCTGGCGCCGCCGGGTCAAACGGTTGACCGTGGTACTGCGGTGCCTGCCAGTTCCCACTCTATGAGAACCGCCGGTCGATTCCCTGGCCCGCCATGACGGGCTGCCCGTTTATGGGAGGAGGTGCCATGCCGTAAGCATTGATGGGAGGGTTATTAAAGGTTTCAAGGGGAGCGGGCATATACGTCCCGTGTAAGCCCTGCTGCTGCGACACGGGACAGTCCTTGTGTGCGAGGAGTAGGGTCTTCAGGCCGATTATTTCCTCACGGAGAGCGGCGATTTCGTGATTAAGGTTTTCGTTCTCCACAGCATATTCCTCCACCTTGGCCTGAAGGCTGGCTAGCCATTGCTTCTTCCGTTGACGGCACTTAAGCGCAGCAACCCTGCGGGGCATATTAGCATCAGCCTTTGTCGCACAGGCCATCCATTTGCATCTTGGTGTAAAACGTACCTGTTCCGCTCGAGGAAGTTTTTCCGTTTCTCGTCATCCGTCTTCATTTTGGGATCACCTCCGTTTTCTTTATCACTCTTATCATGATCATCCTCCTCCGAGTGGTCCATGTCCTGGTCCTGGCTGCTTGACGACTTACGCCTGCCGTTCGTCTTTTGTTTCTTGGCTCCGCGCTGCGCCTTGACCTGCGTGTCCTCGGCCTTGCGACGCGTGCCGGCGGCGGCGCCTCCTGGATTCCGTTTTCCTCTGGCGCGAGTATTTGGCCGCGCAACCTGGTTCTCGTCGGATTTCGCGCTCGCTACGCTGGCGGCACGGACGGAGCTCCCGGAAACAGAAGGCGCACCATTCATCTGGGGAGACGTGTTCGCAGGCTGTGCTGCCGGTGCGGCCGAGATGCCGCTGCGGATTTGCGCCTGCGAGGTTTGCGAGGCGGAGTACTGAAGAGCGGCCGGTTGAGCCGCGTTCCGCCCCTGTGCGAGCATGTAAAGGCCGCTCGCCGCATCGTTGTCATGTGGGTCAAAAGGGCCAGTTGGGGGATTGGCTCCTACGTTGTTGGGAACTTGGGCTCCGTCCCTTGTCTCCTGTGGCTGGGACGTCGGAGCGACGATAGGAAGTTGTTGTTGTTGCGCCTGAGCTTGCTCGCGTTTCGCGGCGGCAGCACTGACGGCAGTCCGGTGGAAGTCGATGGTGCCCGGTGTTGCACTCGGACCCCCCGCGAGCTGGGCGAAAATAGCCTGCGAATTAGGGCTGGGCGCGGGGAACATCGACCCACTGCCCCCGGGGGTCAAGCCGCTCCGTAGCGATGACTCGTTCGGGGTCGGGAAACCGCCGCGGATATGATGTGTATCGCTAAAGTAATCATTGGTTGGAGCCGAAAGCATCGCAGGACTCAATGGGCCGGTCCTCAGGGAGCCAGCACCCCAGGGGAATGGCGTATTGCCAGGAAGAAGTGACGAAGGTGAAGTGAGAGCAGCTACGGACGGCAGCTTGGTGCCGCCAGGAGTCTCGGGCGGTGCGCTGCCAAAGGACTGCTCGAACGGGTTCGGTTCCAGGTTGAGCGATGCAGCATTCACATGTCCAAAGTAGTCGGGGCTGTTCGAATTCTGCTGTTGTTGATTGGGCCGTGGGGGGGGCGCCAGTGGCTTGGAAATTTCGGTACTGGTTGTTTCTTCGGATTTTTGGGTGTCGTCTCGTGTGGAGGCTGTGACTAGAAGAGAAACAGAGAGTTGGCGACAATGTTCAACATGGATCGACGAGGCCGACAACGGCGGCGACGATGGCAACGACAGCAACGCGCGATGCCGCACTATGGGATCCTGGGGATGCACTCACATGGTGGCGACGATGATTTCGGTTGCTTGGTGGATTGTTGAGGCGACTTGGATGCGCCTCGGCCAGTCACTCCAGTGGGCGGCCCCATGATGTCAATCAGAAACTTTGCGGTGCCTCAGTGTTAGTGCGACAAGGAATGGGAAATGGATGGCGAATGACGATGAGGTCACGAAAGGAAGGTGCCCATATCAGGGGGAGCCGTCATGCTGATATGCAGCTGGGAGAGCTGGCTTACTTTCGTGTCGGTTTCGTAAATAATTGACGTAGCTTAGGTTTGCGGTATGTTCCGCGCGGGTTACGTGTGCAGGTTGTGTGGATTGTGCGGGTTGGGTGGGTTGTGTGTGATTCACTGTCGATGTGTGGGATGGAGGTGTGTGGGAGAAAAGAGACAAGACCGAGAATGGGAGCGACGTCAGGTATGACGTTGGGGAAAAGGAATGGCGCAAGTCAAATAAAAAAATACTGGGGTAGCTCTGTGGGGCCCGAGTCCGTGTGTTCACAGTGCCAGCCAAAGAGATGGTGAGGAAATCGATCGCGCTGCAGGACCCAGCCAATTTATGGGAAGCATCGAGTCCAGCCAGATGGCAAGAACGACCACAGCTGGGCGCCCACTGCACTTGGCTTTGATTGCGGTGGAAGATTCGACTGGCCAGTGTCTGTCACTGTACTTACATGGTTACCAAGCCAGGCGCCAGGCCAAAGAACAAAAAGAAAACCACACCTCCCTACCTATTTCTTAACCGAAGCCGTTCCCAAAACCCTCTGTCTCCCTTTCACTAACCACACCTTGTGTTTTGCACTCTCGGCACTCGCAACTCCAGCCTCGCTTACATCTGTGCGGTTGTTTTTTTTTTTTTTTAATCTCACACAAGTGCCACGGTCGAGACAACCTCCCGTGTTGTTGCCCAGTAGCATGCCATCGATGTTCTGGCCCGATCGATCTATCGCTGACTTGAAATCGACTCGAGGTGCGCGCAGCGAGGATGGCCACCAGAAAGGGCCTGTGGGTCCTTACAGTAGTACACACTGTGTGAGATTGTTCCGAACCTCCCCCACGGCTGCAAGCGAAAAGGAGACACGGCGGGAAGCCCCTGCCTGTCTTCAACAACAACATAATGTGATCCCAACGAGCCTCCATCGAAACACTGACCGCCGGAACCAGTGCATGCCTGCATGCATACCGTCGGTGTGGAAATCCGGCCCTCGAAGCCAACAACTATGTAAAAATGTCCTAGTTCCGCATCCGGATTTGCAGCCAAAGTAAGTCAACAATCCTTCGGCCTCAGATGGTCCCATCGCCATCAAGACGACCAGGCCGGGGCTGTTATCCGGCTCCGGGATTTATCAGCAGCTCCCGGAAGTTTTCCCCTCGGGAATTCTGTTCTAGCCTTCTCGCTGTCTGGTCCAAGGGGCGTTCTAGGCTTGGCCGAGCCAACAAAAGTGTTCAAGGTGGTCTTTCCCGTCGCCTCCAGACTTCGGAATCGAGCACCCAACACGTCTCCATAATCGAACAAAAGAAAGAAGACCTGAACAACCCGTCGCCTCACCGCTGAGGGAAAATAGAGGCGCCGAACCTCAAGGAGGTGAAGAGGAAGAACACAGTCAAGGGTGTGGGACACCTGTGGCGAATCGATTTTGGCGATCGAATCAGGGCGCGCAAGCCGCGCCTGCCCCGCTGCTCTTGCCAGCCTGCCAGCCTGTGAGGAGGAAGAATTGCGTCAGACACTGTGCAATCTGGCAACCCACCACGAGTTAAGCCGGTCTGTTCCCCGCTGCCATTATCCTTGCTAGCGACGCTTTCAGACTGCCACACGCGCTCTCCGGCTTCTCTGGGAGTGACGGAGTGATCGGAAAGACGCAGGGACGGGAAGAAACAACAAACCGCTCCCGTTCCCGCAATGGAGAAGTTCTTGTGATCGCCATTGCAGCCCGCCCTGAGGCCGGATCTCTGCAATTGTTGCCCTTCCTGGAGCTGAGATGAAAGAAGCGCGCCGGGCGGCGCCAGGTTCTCTAATGATTACCAGCAGCGATGACGTAATTGGAAACATGGTGGTGGTGAAATGTTGTCTCAAGCGCCATGTAACCTAACGGTTTTTCGTACTGTGGGGGCAACACTCTGACCTCCACCAGCCAGAGGAGGGATGTATATGAGGTATTCGCGTCGAGTGAACCTCTATCGAGTCTCTGTTACTTCAATAACATCGGACGGAGATGCACCCTTTGGTGGAATTTCGAGTAAGTTTGTCGAACACCGCCCAGCACCCTGCTGTGTTTTGCGCCTCTCTCCCAACCCTATGACGCACTTGTTGGATGATGCTTGAAAATTGGCCGTGCCGGACGCACACGAGGCGCAGAAGCACAATCTCCACCGGACGCGGCACCTTCCCCCCCTCCCTCCCCCTTGCAGGTGTCAAGAACAGGAATTGGTGGAGCGCATCCAGGTTAAAACCCCGGCTTTCGAATGTTTCGGAAGTCACGGTCTGCACTATCGAGGAAAAAGGTAGGGGGAAAAAAAGAAAAAAAAAAAAAAAAAAAAAAAAAAAAAGAAGCCATAAGGGGGAAAGAGAAGGGAAAGACACTTCGATTTTCTCATTCTGCGAAGACGACTGGAAGGCCTTGGCGTGCTTTGCAAAGCTTGAAGCCAACCACTTTCGGAAGAATCGCGTCAACCACCATTGGTGAGTGACCATTTCCGTGTGGGGAGCAGAAAGTGGAACTCTGACCGGTTCCCCGAACCACTCAAAACGGCAAAACGGGGGCTGGGCGAACACACAGGCACCACTGCAGTCCTGCACCGGCTCCCAAACCATGCATGTTTGACTGTCGAACCTGGGAAATGCCCGATGCAAGACACGCAGACGCCAAACTAAAGTACCTTATTGAGCTTATGTATGTATACTGACACTAACGATTCAAGCCTTGACATTTCTCCATGTGCTTGCACGTGCGAACAAACACCAGGTCCTTTTTTCCCCGCGTTTTAATGCGGTGTAGTGTAATTGTATGTACATGCACACTACCCGAGACACGAACTGTCGGTTCCCACCAGGTTCCATGGATAAAAAAAGAAAACATTTCTGCTTCGGAAGATGGGTGGATATCCCCGGTTCAAATAAACATGTGAGATCTGGCCGATCCAAGGCGAATCCCGACTCCCGTGTTCCCCGAAACAGAGCCGCCGACGTAATGCACAGTAAGCTCTGGGACTTCATACCTACCTAGGTACGTACATGCTCACCTCGACGGAAGCGCATAGGGAGAGGACGGTCGCACTACATCGCGGTAAGTTAAACTGGTACTGCGTAGTGTTGTACTTGTAGGTTGGGTTACCTGATCGTGGGATCAAGTAACCTCTTGTCTGGCGAGGGAGAGAAAAGAAGAGAAAAAGGAAGGAGAGAGAGAGCAAAAAAAGAGCAAAAAACGGGTTGAAAAAAAAGAATATTATTAAACAAATATGATCGCACCTCACTCAAACATCATCCCCATCCGTCCAGTGGTATGTCCATCTTCTGGCCCAAATCCTACTTCTGCTCCCACTGTTGCGATTACCGCACGGCTTGGCTCAATATGTCCTGGGAGCTACCTGGCGTATAAGTCCCATCAAACGCAGAAGAACAAACATCGAATATCTTTTATTCTTTCCTGCCTCAACGACCCTACTTTGTAGAAGACATGATAATAGGAATACATGCATAGATTAACCAGTCCCGACCACAGGTAGAGTAGGTTTGGATGTATATATGGATGTACTACTCATATATACTGGGATGCTACGGCCGTTGTGTCTCAATCCTCACTGGAACTGCTTCAGTACTCCCGCCACACACGCCGCATTACAGCAGTTATAAGAGATAAGAGGCAACTCGGTTTATCAGACCCCAACTTCTTCTACCGGCCTCGCCAACCGCACCCGGAACCCATGCCGAGGTGCGTGCACGCGCACCCCGGCGTCCGTCTCCCAGACTATTTCCTCGGCGTCGAGGCTCACCAGGCAGCCCTGATCCCGATGCCCAGCCCCGGAGTCCGTCGGCCACACCTCGACCCTGCTCCCTTTCTCCAATCCGTACACCTTGACGATCGGGTCCGCGGCGTCCACCTCCCCCTCCTTCTCAAAATATCCTACCCCTTCTCTCTGCCCCTTCAACACTACCGCCGCCTCCTCCCCGCTCATGCCCTTCACCACCACCCCGGCCTTCGCCGCCCCAACCGCCGCCTGAAACCGCGCCACCCACGCATACACCCGCGGAAACCGCTCGGCGCTCACATACCCGGCGTCGAACAGCGCACCAGGAATGCCAATCATCCAGTGAAGCACCCACACGGCCTCGATATCCGCCAACGTCGGCCCTTTTCTCGCACCCTCACTGCCACCACCATCACCGCCACCACCACCGCCCAAAACCCACTCCCGCCCGTCCGCAAGCAGCGTATCCTCCAGCAGCGCCATAACCCGCCTGACCTCACAAAGCGCCTCGGCACGCAACGCCTCCCTCTCCAACCTCTCCTCCTCCTCCTCCTCCTCCTCCTCCCCAACCGCCCCAACCGCCGTGGTTCACGGCGCATCTTGCAACATGGTACCAGACGGGTGAGCTCGGGGGGACTAGATACGCCTCTTCTGCGTCTGTTGGAAAAGAGAATAAGTTGTCGTCTAGGTAATGCCAGATCCATGCCTGAACAATCCCTTCCTGGGAGGTGATGAAGGCAGGATTCCCAGAATTGTCTCGCGGCCGGAGGCCAGCTTTCCAGGTGTCTCCCGGGCATCTAGATCCAGGTCTTCTCATGCTATAAAGCCCATCCGTCGGAATTGCTGCCGATCAGACTGTGCTCATCGATAAGGATGTTCGTCTATCGAGCGAACGTGTTTCAAGCTTGCCGGGGTGTAGAAGTACGGGGAGTGAATGGGCCAATCGGGGAGTCAAGCATCGGGTGTTTGTCCGCGCTTGCTTCCGCGTGCCGTTGAATGGTTTCGCTGTGACCCTCGTGCGAACTCCGGACATGACGCGTCCACATTGGGGTATTTACCGCCCTCGAAATGAAAAGAGGATGGGTTAA